AAATGGGATTATATCAATCTGAAAAGCTTCTGTTTCACAGTAAAGGAAACAATCAACAAGATGAAGTCAGTAGAAATGTAAATTTGTACATTCATTATGAAAAACAGCATGGGTTTCCTAAAAAAAGTAAAAATAGAACTGTCCTATGATATAGCTAGCAATCCCACTACTTGGTATATATCCAAAGAAAATGAAGTCATTGTGTTAAAGAGATATGTGCACTCCCATATTTATTGCAGCACTATTCACAAAAGCCAAGATACTAAATCAACCTAAGTGTCCATAAATGGATGGATTGAGAAAGAAAATGTGGTAAGTATATATGAGGAAATACTATTTTAGCAACAAAAAAGAAAGCAATGCTGTCATTCACAGCAACACAGATGAGAACATTATGTTAACTGAAATAAGCCAGACACAGAAAGACAAATACAGCATAATTACTCTGTACTCCATATGTAGTACGACTATCATGTCAATTAAAATTCAAAATGTAATAATAGCAAAAAAATAAAATGTACACTCAACTGACAGGAAATAGAAGAGAAAATCCTAAAACATGAAAAAGAAAATTTGTGAAAAACCTACAGCTAACATCAACGCTCAATAGTGAAAGACTAAAAGCTTTACCTCTAAAATCAGGAACAAGACACAGATGCCTCCTTTCACTACTTTTACTCAACATTGTACTGGAAGCTCTAGCCAGGACAATAAGGCAAGGAAAGAAAAGACATCCAAATTGCAAAGGAAGAAATAAAACTCTCTATTCAGAGATGACACAATCTTATATTTATAAAATCATAAAGAATCCACAAAATAAGCTATTAGAGCTAATAAATTTATTTAGTTCTGTTTTGTACTCTTTGTGAGTGCTTCAGCCTGCAGAAGCTTTGGAAAAATATAGAAAACATTACCAGCACTCTCTTGGTTTCCCTCATTTTTCTTTTCTTTGTTGGGGAAGGGACAAAAAATGTAGAAGATACAAAGGAAGAGTAAATGAATCAAACTTTATCTTGACTGTTTGTATTTCTATAAATCAACTATTATTTCTTATTTATTTCCCTAAGCAGGCAACAGCAAAGCCCTGAAAACCAATAGGAGTTGGGCTCTTGTTTTCAGAGGCAGCAAAAAATGGCTGATACGAGGACAGAATGTCCTACTCCATAGCCAGGCTTGTACAGATGGTGGCAGCTATCCAAGGAGAAGCAAGGAGGCCGAAACCCTAGGACCTGCTATACGAAAGGAGGGAAAAATTTAAGAACTTACTGAATGTTGTAGGGCACAGTACTGGGATTGAGTACCCCATACATAGTGAAGCCTTTATAGAGAGGGTTCCTGAAGTCTGATTTCCTCTGAACCAAGAAAGGCCATAAAGAATGTGTTTTCTCATAGATTCTGTTAGAAAAGAAAAACAAGCCAAAAAATTAAAAGCAGCAAGCAAGCAATCTCAATAGTCCTGTTGAATATGATAAGCAGTAAATTTTACTAATAAGTAACCCAACAAAGGAGGACAGGATATGACAGAAGAAAAATAAGTGGCTAATAAGTGTTGATGGAGTAACAACTTATCTGGGCTTCAATTTATCCATCTTTAAAAAAAATCAGAGATTAGAAAGAGTTCCATACTGGAGAACAGGATTCTAAGTCCAGTTTCGGTTGTGGAATAGCTGTGTGATTTTAAGAAAATCTCGAGCTTTCTCTGAGCCTGTTTCCTCATCGTTAAATGTGACCTCTAAGTTATATTCCAAATCAAGGATTTTATAAACTAATGACTTTTCTGGTTTTAAAATTTTTTAAATTGCTTTTGAAAATCTGCTAAGTTAAGAGATAGGTCCTATGGAGTGAATTTCTGGCTCTTCTATATTTCATTTTATTTAAAGCCAGCTTCTCCTCCCTTCAGAAGGTTTAAGACAGTGACAGAGAATTGGAAATTTATAATAGAAAATATCCGTGAGTTCTCCCAGGTGGGCAACTAAAGATTATGGCATTTATATTACAAAACTAATTCTTATTGGGTTGAGACCATGGGGAGCCTACTCAACCAGCAAGCAAGTCCCTTAGTTAACACCTCAAAATACATGGGATCCACTGGTTCCCCATGTGAGCTGCTGTATAACCATTCATGAGAAGGTCATTTGCACACACATCATGTCAAAGAAAGCTAAAGGAGAACTGAAGAGTGGTATAAGTAGTTAGACCTAAAATTGTTGTCCTGTAACTTATACAATTGTCAGAGTATTTCAGTGAGGCCAAAGGCCCTGTATATCTGTCTTTCTCATCTGCTATTGGTTTATAACATGAAAAAAAAAAAATACTGCACTGGTAAGGTAACTAATTTGTTGAGTATTTACTACGTGTTCAAACACTATTCCAGACCCGTTACCTAAAATACCTCCTTAAATATTCCCAATAAAACCTTGTGAGATATTTTAGCCCAAAATTACTAATGAGAAAATGAGACTAAATATTAATTTGCTCAAGGTCACATAGCTAGTAGGTGACAGAGCCAAAGTTTGAACCCAAGTCTGCCTGACTCTAAAACCCATGCTTTTCCATTCGTGAATAAATGACACTTCTGCTTATTTTAAGTAGTTACTACTTTAAAATATGTTAAAATGTTCAACTGTTGTAGTTTTTAAATGAATATTCATATTTATATGAAAAATATTACATATATTGACCCGATTTTAAGAGAAGGAAAAATATTATGGAAAAGATCCTGAGTTTTAATGCCTAGGGAAATAACTTAAAGACATAATGAATATCTTAAAAGTACTTGGGGAGAAAGTGACAAAGGTCTAGTTGTAAACAGAGAGAGAGAAACATGCGTGGCAACAAGAGAGAAACTACCAAGTAAGTACAAATGTTAAAACAGAAAGACTCATTATTGTTCTCTATGTTGACAGGAAAACTAAATCACAGAGAAGTAATCTCATCCTGGCTATGCTAGAAAGGGGCCTGAGAGTTGGGCTAACTGCTAACTCAGCCAAAAGCTGTGAAATAGGAGTGAGTTGTAAAACAGCTACTTTCCTATTTCTTTTACTGTCTCTAAAATAAGGAAAATACTGTTCATAGCTCCATCTTGTCAATTTCAAAAAGTACTTATGTCACATATATTGTGAGGATGTTAGTTTAAATAAAGGGTGCAAACTCAACTACCTACTAGAACTAGGAAGATAACATTAGAAATGGGCTAAGAATAAACTATAGAGAATGGTAAGAACTGCAGTCAACAAGAGTAAGTTTGCCTCATCCAAATGGAACAGCTACTATTCAGCTCTAACTTATTATTATCATGAGAAAATACAATCTAGTGTTGCCAGAGCTCCTGAGTTTTCAGAATATTTAGGAAAAACATCCTAAAATAATTTAATGTGAAATCTCCTGATATTTAAATGTTGGCAACTAGGGATAAGAATGACACAATGCACTCTGGGGACTCAGGGGGAATGGGTGGAAAGGGGGTGAGGGATAAAAGACTACGAATTGGGTTCACTGTTCTGGAGATGAGTGTACCAAAGTCTCACAAATCACCACTGAAGAACTTACTCATGTAACCAAATACCATCTGTTCCCCAAAAACTTATAGAAATAAACAAAAATGTTGGCAACTAATTAGGAGTTTTTAAAAAATACTCCACACTAAACAAACCATGCCTGTTGGGTTGGGTTCAGCCTATGAGCTGCTAGTTTGTGATCTCTGATATGAATGAGAAGTAGATAATGACTACTCATACCGGCAAAGCAATTAATTATCTGCAAAGGCTTTGTACATCCATTATTTTATTGGCTCTCCATGATTGCTATAAAAATTAGGCATTATTATCCCTATTTTACAGATAAGAAATCTCATGGTTCTGAAAGATCTCTGTGCACACACTGAGTGCTTTCTGCTTCAAAAGTTTTTTTTATTATTGTTATCTCCTCCCCTTTTCTTGACTACTCTGCCAAATTCAGGGTGGTAGGTACCTTCTTTTTGCACTGACCCCCTTCTGCCTATTTAGTGTTTTCTCACAAAATAAATTCACCTTAGATCTTCCCGATCCTTCTGGCAGTTTCCAAGGAAGTTTCCAAATTGGCAGGAGAAAACATGGTCATGGATCTCCAGCAGGAAGTTTTCATTAAACTCAAAGGCACAAGGAAACTGTTCCATTAATTGCCAAATACAGTCTAGGAACTGGGTGAAGACAGGGGACACTTCTTTAGAGTCTCCATCGAAGTGGCCACACCTGAGAGATGCAAATAAAGGTAAAGAAAGACACTAGTTAGCATCAAGGATTACACTGTTGGGAGTAGGCCATAACAAGGTCATCTTTTGTCCCTGTTGGCAGTGGCAAGGAAATACCTCATACCAAAATGCCAGCCAGAATCTCAAAGCTAGTTAATTCCAGCAGACCTCTTAGCTACTGGTGTCCTTTACTATCATCCAGGCTGTAAGCCCTTTGGTCATCTCATCTATTTTCTTTTACACCCTCTTTCCAATAGAACTTTCTGCAATGATGGAAAATTTCTACAGTTGTGCTGTCCAATATAGCAGCCGCTAACTGTTAAGCATTTGAAATGTGGATAGTGTGGCTGACTGACTTTTTAATTGTATTTAATTTTAATTTAATTTAAATAGCAACATTTAGTTCTGTGTGAGCAATGACCTCATCTATATTGTTTACTGCATAGTGACTGGCACAAAATAAGTATTTAAGAAACCCCCTTTATTAAGTGCATAAATGAAACCTCATCCCAGAACTGTTTAATGTTTCCTCCCCATAATGCTCTCTTTACCAACCCTATCATCCACTGGAAACACTATTCCACTGGAAACCAACACGGCACCCTCAGTTTCTACACTGCAGGTTCTCTACCTTCTGATATAATTACAGCATGGCTCACAAGGATACCACCTTTCCTTGGGGTCAAAATAAAATGAAGAATGCTGATCATTCCACTTTCCACATACCGTAATACTAAAACAAAGCAGAGGTGGGTTTAGCTTTCTCCTTGCACCTACTGCTGCTTCTAAGCTACTATTATTTTTATGCCCTTAAAAACACTTCCTTTATGCGGCATGCTATTAGCTTATTTACCTTCTCTTTCCTCAATGATGTCTTCTAGAACCTCTGAGTCACTTGCCTACATTCTCTGAACAATCTGATGGTCTTAAGCTTTGGTGTTGATGTAGGTGACTTACATTAGCTCAACAGATTCCTTAACTAACACAAATCAAATTACCTTCACTGATCTTTACCTCTACTCCGCCCTTTTGAATCCACTGGCCACAGGCTGGCTAGTAGTTTTTACTCCATCTTTGAAATCTTAATCACAGTATCCCATTCTGAACACCATATATTATATTCTCAAAAGCTGCTCATCTTCTTAACTCCTTCATGCCTCATTTCAGGATATCTCCACATGCCAGATTCCTACTGGTTTCTCTTTTTCCTTATCAAGCCTAAATTCCATGATCTGCCCTATTAACTACTCTTTCCCCATTTTTTTCAACTTTCTGGTCTTTCTTGTCATTATTTTCCTTCTAAATACAACCACAGATCAGCCTGAAAAGCTATGTTCTCTGCTTCTAATAATCCTAATAATGCTCAAGAATATTATAAAATCATACAATTCATACCATTCAAAATTAGTCTCCATATTCAACTGTGTCTTAACTGCTCTCAAATAATCTTCATGCAGCTTCTTAACACCATTTTCTCATTACCTTTACAGCTCTTACAAATTTTAAACTACCTTTCTCAAACCCCAAATCCATTTCATATCTTCCTTCACTCTAGCGTCACTGAAAAATATCAAGGCCATTAAGTAGAAAAAAGAAGTCTAACTTCTGCCTCTAATAAGCACATATAGCACCTTCTCTGCCTGCCTTTCCACCTAATCTCCATGGAAAAGCTGTTCTTCATTTTAGCTCAAGCTAATCTTTCATTTGGTATTTTCACCCATTTGCCCGGAAGGCTTACTCTACCAAAAACCCACTGTTTCTTTCATATCTTCAACCTTATCACCTTATCTTCTTTAATGTTTCTTTCTTCTCAGCATAAGAAACTGCTCAAATCTCCTGTCTTGCAATACACTTCCTCAAACCCACATCCCACCCATTCTCTTCTACCCACTTCAGAGCCAAGGTTCTTTGAAAGAGATTTATATACTCACCTTCCACTTCCTCACCCCTCACTCATGCCTCCATTCACAACCATTTGGCTTCTGCTTTCGCCACTTTACTCAACCAGTTATCACTAAAGATCATTAAAACCTGCATATTGCCAAAGTCGATTCTTGGGTTATTCTGAGGCATATGACACTGCAGTCTACTCTCTTGAGATTCTCCTTTCTTATGTTTTTTCTTTCCTACCCTTAGATTTATTCTTACCTCACTAACCACTCTTTCACAGCAACCTTCATGAACTTCTTTCTTCACTAGACTTTCAGGTGTCAGTATTATCCAAGGCTGTGTGCCATCCCTTGGCTCTTCTTCCTCTATATACAATTTTTTGAGTTACCTTATCTGAATCCATGGTTTAAGCCACCAATTATAAGCAGGTAACTCCCTCTATACCACCTCTCTATCCAATCCAGAACTAGTGAGCTCCAGATTACTACTGAATAGTCTCCCTACTGGATATCTTCTCTTGGATGCCCCATGCCAAATAAGTCCCAAACTGAAGCCAACTTTCCCCCAAAACCTGCCCTGTATTATCCTGTATCCTCTTTCTCAATAAACCCAGTTACCTACAGCAGAAACCTTTGGGTTTTACTAGACTTTTTCTCCCATCTTCTGGTGAGTCCTACTTCCTGAATACCTTTGTATCTATCCCATTGCATCTGTCTTTTTTCAGAACTTCATCAATTCTGAGAGCCTACTAATTCAGCCCTTTGTCACCAATTTCAATCTTCCACATGCTGTCACAGAGATATTTGTAAAATATAGATCTGAACATCATGTCACTGCCTTGTTCAAAGTCCTCCAATATAACTTGACTATGTACACAAAAAAAATCTTTTAGCTTTAAAAAAAACAACAACAAAAAACAGGGCTTTATATGATCTTCTCCTCACTGGCTCCACTTCCCTGGCCTCATTTCCTCTATTCTCCCTACACATCCTTTGACCCAGCCACACTGAATTGCTTGCAGTTCCTCAGATAAATGATCCTGTTTAATGTCTTTATGGTTTCAAACACATCAGTGCTAGAATACTTTCTCCCTTTCTAAATAACATCTACTTATACTTTAAACCTCAGTTAAAATGTCACCTATACCAGGAAGGCTTCTTTGCCCCAGAATGGGTAAAGTTCCTTTGTTTATGTTTTCCTCTGTCTTAACGCACTTATCATACTACACTGTCATCACTGATTTTTCTTTTCTTTAATAGGAGAGATAGGAACTATATCTTATTAAACTCAGTTTCCTCAATAATCACTGCTCCAATGTTTGTGGGTGAAGGAAAAATAAATAAATAGACCCAAATGGCTACAGAGTGGAAACCAAATGAAATTAAATTAATGCATATCAATGGGGTTAAATAAGACCTGAATTATAATCTCCTTAGGGTAAAACTCAATTTCTTATTTTTTTTTTTTTGAGACGGAGTTTCACTCTTGTCACCCAGGCTGTAGTTCAATGGCGTGGTCTCAGCTCACTGCAACCTCTGCCTCCCAGGTTCAAGCAATTCACCTACCTCAGCCTCCTGAGGAGCTGGGATTATGGACGCCTGCCACCATGCCTGGCTAATTTTTGTATTATTAGTAGAGACGAGGTTTTACCATGTTGGTCAGGCTGGTCTGAAACTCCTGACCTCAGGCAATTCATCCATGTTAGCACCCCAAAGTTCTGGGATTACAGGTGTGAGCCACTGCGTCTGGCCAAAACTTAAATTTTATTTGTCTTTGGAATCAGCTTAGTGTCTGATATAACATATAGCACATTGCTAGGCATTTGTCAGATATTTATTGATTGTCCTGATAAGATAGGTAAAGCCTTAGTGAGGCTGTTTGGTTTATAGCAGATAACAGATAAATATAAACCCTTGTCCTCACTCCTTAAAAAAGAACAAATCTCCAACTGTCTTTTCTCTTACAAAAGGTCGAAAGGTGCATTGTCTTGATATTAGTCCCTCTACCTGAATGACCTCTTCATTCCCTTGTTCTTCCTATTAAATTTCTATTCATTTCCAAAAATTCATCCTTAAATGCTATATACTCCTGGAAGCCTACCCTGACCTCTTCATGCAAAGTTAAGCACTTTTCCTTCTGTAGCCTGTGATGCCTTGTTCTTCCTTGAAATATTTAAGAATCTGATATAATTACTTGTACTCCTTGAAAGCAGACATAGTATTCTGCTTACCTGTGTCACATTAGTGCACTAGCATATTATCTAGAACACTTGTTTCTTGATGAAAAGAGATTTATGCCACGTTCAACCTCCTGTTGTTTTCTCTACATGTACATTCTGGGGTTTTGATATACTTCACCCTAATGAATTATCCTCAGCCCCTTCCATCAAAATGAGTATATTTTTACCTTTGGGAAAACTTGTGGCCCATGGATATCCATTCCTTCTCTATCAAGATCTTCATTTTATACAAAAGAAAGAGTTCGTATTAGGAAAATCATAAAATGAATTAACCATACATACAAGAATGTCAAAACACTTTGCTGAATGATTGAACCGATCATAAAAAAGTTATTTCCTAAATGATAATGAAGTAAGTAACTTAGATTTCATTCATAGGCCTATACAGGGTGCCTTCAGATTTCAGATGCTCTCAGATATATCCAGAGTCAAATTTCCTTTGGCTTTCACATGATGTGTGACAAGCCACTGAGCCAGAACTAAATGTAATCCTGATAAGCATGATATTAAACTCAACCTTTGAAAAACAGAAATCCAAAGGCAGCTCTTAGCTTTATACCAGCAACAAAACCATTTTTAACCATTTTTTAAAAAATCCCAGCCAGGCATGCACTTCAGCAGGCCATGGAGGGCAGATCAAATGAGGCCAGGAGCTCAAGACCAGTCTGGCCAACATGGTGAAACCAGCTCTGTACCAAAAATACAAAAATTAGCCGAGCATGGTAGTGTATGTCTGCAATCCCAGCTACTTGGGAGGCTATGACATAAGAATCACTTGAACCCAGGAGGTGGAGGTTGCAGTGAGCCAAGATCGCACCACTGCAATCCAGCCTGGGTGGCAGACCAACGCTCCATCTCAAAAAAAAAAAAAAAGCTTTCCAAGAAATGAGAATAAACCACTATGGTGAGTTCTGTTTCTCAGAAAGATCAACTAAGAGGCCTTGGATTCAGATTCAGCACTAGAAAACAGTCATGAGTCAAGACATTCAAACAGCTGACATGTTAAAAATGATGAGCCCTTTGGACAGCCTATTAAATAGTCATCCATTCAGTTTTGCAAACTTTTTGAGCTTTTCCTACTCTGTACAGTAGCCTATTACATAAAATTTACCTTCTGATAGGTAAGAAATATGTTGAACATACAAAAGAAAGTATACAGATAGTACATACCTAAATTTAAAGAAAAGAAGCTAAATTGGAAAAAAAAAAAAAAAAGCTATTTTTTTAGATGTAGAGCTAATTCTGGCAAAAAAAAAAATGTTTGAGAATTTTATTTTGTCGCAATCTACCACTTACACAAAGTAAAATATAGTAGCGTGCTCTCTTACCATGAGTCCTTTGAATGTCCTATAAAATGGATCTAGGAGGATGCTGGCCACCGAGCAGACTTGTGCTGTGCGGTCCCACCCATCAGAACAATGGACTAAGACACTGGCCTTTTCTACCTTTACTGCCTGTGAAAACAAGACGCAAATGTACCATAAGCAACCCTTGCATAGCTTGTTGGGTTAAATAGTTACCAAATACAGCCCCTAAAGCACAGAGAACCTGGTCTTACTGGGCTACATTAATTTTTTTCTCATAATGTTAGCATCCTCTATGGGGAATGAAAAGGAAAATAATGGACTGAAAGAGAAGGAAAGCTTACCAAATAGGAAAAAAGTATCAAAACTAACCCATAACACATGGCAAAAAGAAAGACGAGGAGAGTTCTAAATTCACAAAACTTCTGAAGAAAACAAGGATCAATTCTCAAAGAAACAGGTAAATAGGAGGAAGAATTCACACTCAAAAACATAGACAGCTCTGCATTCTAGTCCCAGATCTGACAACAATCTCCTCTAGCTGTTTTAGTCTTACTAACACAAATGCTTCCAAATTAAGATGGAGGTGCTTGCCTGTCTTAGGTCGCTTTAAAAAGCGATTGCATAAATACAATCAGAATGATGTAAAAATTTGGGCAGTTATTCAACGTGAGAAATTTTGGCAATGGTACATATTGGTTATTCACTTATTCATTCTAACACTTTTGTACCTCTATTAGGCAGGTATTACAAATACAAAGATAAGACTCAGTTTCTGCTTTCAAGGAACCCACAAACTAGTCAGGGTGACCAAAGATAAATAAATAATTAAAACACAATGGAAAAATTACTGCTAACGTAAAGTAATTTGTAGTAATGATATTTTGCAGGAGCCAGGGAAGCCTGACCCTTGAAGAAAGAGTAGGATTTCCTGAGGTGAAAAAAGACATTAATTCACTCCTTCATTCACCCACACGCCTAGCCAATAATTACTGAGCAACTGTACAAGAGGCACTATGATGTACACTGGGAATACAAAAGAGACAAACACTTAAATGCATGACTATAATCCAGGTGTAACAAAGGCACAAAAGATAACCAAGGAGGAGGAGACAACTAAAGTAGGTCTTGAAAGATGAATAGAAATTTACCGAATTGACCCGAAGGAAAGGAGAATCCAGGCAGGGGAATGATGTAATAGCATGTACATTGCAAGGAGGGATGGCATAGAGCCTTAATGGCCCAGGCTAGGCTGGAAGTGAGGGAATAAGGAGAGAGAGAGAAGGCTAGGAGGGTGAGGGACAGACCAATCAAGTATACATTTTATTTTATGGCAACAGGGAGTTGAAAGCAGAGAAGTGCCATGATCAGATGTATATCTTTGAAAGACGGCTGTGGTGGCAGCAAAGAGAATGGACTGAGAGTACATGAGTTTGGTTGCAGGAAAACCAGTTAGGGAGCTACTAAAATCGTGAAAGTCCATATAGGCCTGAGGTAAGGTAGTAGCAGTGGGCCTGAAAAGCAGAAGAGGGATTTTAAGTATGAACATTTTAACAGGACAGTGAGAGACTAGACATGGGATAAAGGAGAAGGAAAAGTCAAGGATAACTCTGAAATGTGTGGTTTAGCAACCAGGTGGAAGGTAGTGACATTAGACTAAATAATAAACACAAAAGCAAGTTTTAGGTAATAGTGGGGGTACGTAAGATTTCTGTTTTGGCCATGATGAGTTTGAGGTAGTTCAGGGACATCTATTGGAAAGTCCAGCAGGACAATTGGATATGTGGCTTTGAAGTACAGGAAAGGGAAAGATCTAAGCCAGAGTATAGATTTCACCACTATCTGAATACAGATATAGTATACACTGTGTGCATAGTTGACGCTGTCCAGGCAGAGACCAAATGTGACAAAAGAAAAGACCTTAAAAATCAATGACTCCTATAATAATCCACCTTCCAGTAGAGGAAGGTGGATTATTACAGGAGTCAGACAGTTTAA